GGTAATGAAACTGAATACGGTATTTTTTTAAATTATGATTGAAGTATTACTAGTGGCCCGGAGGCCTTTCCAGTTTCACCAGGACAGGTGGGCGAGCAAAGGCTCAGCCAGGAGGGGTGGGATTTGCTAACAGCTACCCGAACGCCTCCGAAGAAGACTTAATAACTCAAGAGTAGCCTTCGCGAATGAATCTTCTACCGGATCGAAATCGCGACCCGCTGAGAAGATCCGGTGAGAAACTCAGCGGGCTGCTGCATGGGTTAGGTTGCACGGCGAACTCATTGCCGAATTCAACGAGTTATACGGTATCATGCGTCGTATAATATTAATTAAAAATAACACAACAGCATACAATAAAATTAAGTTTATAAACTATAGATAAGTGATTACTGACAGCATAATAATCCTTCTTTATTCGTTGTATTTTGACGATAATAAGATATTTGATATTTACAGTAATCATTTGTATCGATATCTATTATTTATTTTAAAATCATATCTCAAGTTTGACGGCAACTTATACGATAATCGCATAGTAACAAAAGCTTTATAGCCTACGACTTCGAATACATCAGTCGCATATGGCAATCTAGTCGATAGCTACTAACAAACTTCATATTACTCAATTAAATAAGTATATATGAATGTGTGTATTATAAAAAGATCAAAGTGGTCAGCATCCAGTTCCAATGCACCCACTTTGTTACATATAAATACGCGCCACTGACACTATTTTCGGCTTTCCAGACACATATCTTTCTGGTCAAATTCTTGAGATGGACTATGATATGATGACCATAGGCAAGGATGTGTAAGACATCCACCCCCGATAGCCCTCTTCGGCCAACCTATTCCCTGGGCCAGAAAGGTCAAGTATCTGGGAGTCACCCTGGATGCACACTGGATTTTTCTCGACAGACTTTACCCCATGATCTAACCTAACCTAACCCATACATCAGCTCGCAGAGTTTCTCGCCGGATCTTCTCAGCGGGTCGCGATTCCGATCCGGTAGTAGATTCATTCGTGAAACAGCTACCCTTGAGTTGTTAGGTCTCCTTTGGAGGCGCTCGGGCAGCTGTTAGTAAATTACACCCAGTAACCTATCATTCATAAAAAAAAAAACTCGCGTCGACTTAAGATATAAAAAGCTAAAAGATACGTCGACAAAACTCCATCGATAAGGCGCCATGACTAGTGAGGTCGTGATTTCACGGGGTTTTTGCGGAGGGCACTTTTGAACGTTTCCGTTGTTAAGTTATGTTTATATACGAGGGGGGTGCATCGGTTATGCTTCGATTGCTTGTAACTCATAGCCCGCTGAGTTACTAATGTGTATCACTCGAGATTTATAACGTTGTTTTTATGAATATATCAAAATCGTACTATTTTTATTCTTGATCTTGTTATTTACTAACATTGTTGGTTAATATACTGAAAAAACCTACAAACGTCAACTTTTTTTTTCCTACCTAAGCTGATAGCCTTGAGAGGCTATTTCAGCGTAACCTTAACTAGTAGGTGAGCTCACGGGGCTCAAACCGGAGTGATGCTAACACTGACCCTAGCAAGAGCAGTGCTTCGCCGAATCTACCACCGGATCGGAAACGCGAACCACTGAGAAGATCCGGCGAGAAACTTAGTGGGCTGTTTCTATGGGTTAATTCGTTTCGCTTGTTAATTCTCGTTAATTCGCTTGTCGAGCCCTTCGTCGCAAGCGACGGGTTCGACGAGGACGCTGACCGGTGCTTGTGGTATCTAAAAGCACCGTTAATGGATCGGGAGGATCCGTAATGACGTGTTTTGGGCGACGTCGACAAACGTCAAAGTAACGCATACAGCTTATAGTATGGCGGCTTCGACATCAATCTTTCTTCTTAGTCGTTCCTTCATTACTAAGAATCGCGCCCACACGTATGAATGTGTCTCCATGGATATCAATCCGCTGCGAGGTGGACCGCCTGTTGGATGCTGCCTCCTCTTCTTTATAGTATCCGACCATCTGGTTGGTGCCTTGCCTTTGGCTCATTTCCTCTCCGCCTGGCCAAGAGTGAGAAGTTTTTCCCGCATGATATGTGCCAAAAACCTGAATGTTCGATCTTGAGATATGATGGAGAGAGCTATACATGTGGAGTCATACAGGGTTGCCAGTAAGCGTGGTATTGTTCCTCAAGCAGTGACGTACTTTTTTTTATTGCTTTGGTGGGTGGTCGAGCTCACGGCCCACCTGTCGCGAACTAGTTACAGGAGCCCATAATCATTTACAACGTAAATGCCGCCACCTATTTTGAGATATGAGTTCTAAGGTCTCAAGTTTTTACAGTACAACAGCTGTCCCACCCTTCAAATCGAAAGGCATTACTGCTTCACGGCAGAAACAGGCAGGGTGGCGGTACCTACCCATACGGACTCACAAGAGGTCCTACTACCACCAGTAATTACAAAAATTATAATTTTGCGGTTTTGATTTTTTTATTAAACGATGCATTAAGGTACTTGCAGGCCTGCTAATCTCGTTTAGTGCAAAATGTAGGTGGCGTGTCTTACTCGAAAATATATGACCCGCTGGCGGACCGCATGGCGGTGAGGGTGTTAAGGTAGTATTAAGCTGTCAATAAAGTGGTCAACCGAGTCCCTAAACATCGTTATCTGAACAACATCATTTCCTTGAAGGCGTCATCGGGTGTTCTGTACCTAGAACACTAGCACATCTGGAATTATGAAAAACACATAAATATACACACGCACACACGTATGTATTCGAGTAACCCCTTTATTGAACCTACAACGGTTTTCAAAATAACTTATAATAACATGAACCCGTGATTTTTTCCCTATTGTTTACCTTCACAACATCCATTAGATGACCGGCGGTTCGCTCTGACGTGGGACACTCTCAAAATAAAGCATTCCTTGAAAATATTAATGTACAGCGGCTTTCAAAGTTTTCACGCTGTTTACAAATAAGTGGCTTTTAATTAAATTATATAAACGATGTGTAAAGTACACGAATATACAGAAACAAAGCGACAGTCAATACAACTTGAGGCTATATAAAATCTTTATTTCACAACTCACTACAAACATTCCTGTATACTTCGTGAGTTTCGTTATTCCATTATACCAAAGATGCGTAAATACATTTGGAATTAAGATCCTTACGTCATCATTGTGAAGTACGACGGCTCTAACTTTTTAAAGCAGGCGACTTTAGTTATATGTAGTTCTTGTTTCGACATACGCCCATTAAATATCATGTCAATCACGCCCCCGTCCCGTTGCTTACGTATATCAGGCGGAGACTAACTTTTGCACACAGACTCTATGATAGCTTCTATGATAGCATAGCCGTCTTCAAAGAAAATGATGAAAATCAGAGCTCAATCTCTGATTCTGGTGTATATCTACTGATATTCAAATAACCTAATATTATGTGTTCACCAAACAAGACAGTAGCATAGCCAGGCTGCGGACTATCATAAAATACTTTGCTTAAAACTAGTACGTTGTGATGAATAGAGAGCAGCACGAAGTACGAATTTCCAATTTTCCTAGTTTTGGATACGTTCTATAAGAGGTCTTATCTGCGTTCGTCAGCAATAACAACCATAGTAATTTTGTTGAAAATCTTTGAGAGCCATCGTCCTAGCTCTTTCCTCTATCGCAAATTCGGGCGTCGAGAATAAAACAGAATAAACAAAGTGTTATTGTAGCTTATTTTCATAAGTTAATAGCGGACCGCCCTATAGTGGACATACAAAAAAACTATTTTATTTTATATATGTAAATGTAAAACATGTTGGTTTTTTCGTATAGACAAGTATTTTATTATGGTTTTGCTTGTCTGCTATTTTATTTTATGTATGTTACTACATGTATACTGAATATGGATTAAATAGGTAATACTCTCCTGCTACTCCAGCTTACCTAATCCTCCTCCTCATCCTCCTTCAGTCGATCGCTCATTGCTGAGTATCGTGATGCGCCCGCCTGAGACCTTTTTTGTAATTTGTAGCCATATGTCGGTCAGTGGCACAGTGAAGTGCGTGGCTCAGTCTCATGTCCAGACACTCGGACACTTAGTCACTCCATCTTTTTCGGCTCTGACCTCTGGATCATCTTCCATCCACTTTACCCGTCACTATGAGTCTCTCCAGGTTGTCAGAGAGTTTTCTTGCTATATGACCAAAATATTGGAGCACTCTATATAGGCATTTGGTGGATAGCCTCTGGTCAACTTTTAATACCCGAGTAATAACCTGCGGTAGTAATAGTATTAATAGTATATAATATTAATAGTAATAAATAGTCTGCGATCTCTACCATAAACAAACACATCGCACCCTTAAAATATAAATGACACTATACGAAAATGTTCATTTTACAGTATGGCCGTTTTAAGTTTTTTTAAGTATTGTATGGGTGATATGGAACATAAAAAATGTAAATAAAGCTTCGTGATCGGCTTAAAATAACAGTTTAACTAATGCTGTTTCAGAATCCAGTGGCATACCATAAAATTATTGATTATTTATCAATGGAGAAGCATTTAAAAAAAAAGTTTTGTTTAGTGTCGGTTATAGTTTGATAATTATTCAATAATTTTTGCTTAATGACCTCTAAGTCGTTATTTTACCTACATTGTAATGATAAAAAAGTGACAAATAAAACAATATAATTACTGAAATATTAAAGAATACTATTTATTTGACACACGCTCACAGTTTTAGGTCAAAACTACCGCAAATATTCATATTAAAAAATCTGTCTAAATCTAGACAAAGTTATTGTCAAAAAAACAGAAACTTAGGATTCGTGTTTGAATAAAATTCGTAATTTTATCATAATTAACATTATATTAGAATCTTGTTCTTACTACTTACTAATAAATACAAATTAATAGAGGTATTCCAAATTAAATACCAAGGTTAAAAGTCTTTCAAAGTAGGAACTGTAAAAGTTATGTATAAATAAGCGTATTAAAGGCTGAGTCAGCAAAAATATTATTTATTATAACTCACAGTAGGTACTTAACTTAAAAATATTGTTTTTCACAAAAAACCGTAAGTAATTATAAAAAATATTGTATCAACATCATGTAGGTACATCCTATAAAATCTTGTAAAACTGAATTTAAAACTGAATTATGTAAGAACCTGTCGTCTTTTAGCAATTCGGTTTTTAAGCATCAAGTTCTAGAACCGAGAAAAATATTAATAAAGTAACAGTAACTTAAAAACATTTTCGCACAAAAATCCGTAAAATAGATCACAAAAAAAAACTATCAAAAACCTCTTCTTACAAACAATAATTAATCAACTACATTTTTTTTAAAGGGTGGACACTACCCACCTAGTTCAAAACTCTGTCAAAGTAGGAATTGTAAAAGTTGGGTATCAAACCAGCATCTAAAAGGCTTTTCACGTCACTCTTCTTTCTTTCGGATAAATCTAACTTTTGGTTATACAGATGTTGCAATTCTTCAGTCCTCTGGTTCCTTGCACTGGCTCTTTTAGATCCCAGGTTAAGTTTTTTGAAATCATCAACGTAGGATGTTTTGTAACAAAATTTTACCTTATCATCTTCAACTTTCACCACTTTGATGACTTTTATATCAGACACCTTTACAAGTTCACTTTCAACGCTTTTGTTTAGTCTAGGAACGGGCAGTTGTTTGATGTCAATGAAATCGTTATAAGCCATTTCGTTTACTTTGAATGGTGTGCCATGTTTTTTTGCACTTCTGATGTCGGTTACGTACTGGGAAGGCACATAAATGGGTCCAGATTTAAGTATTCTTTTTATTTGTTGCTCAATCGTTGAATGTGCTGCATCTCCTTCGTTCTGTGTCCACGGATTTAAAACTTGTGTGCTATAGATGTTACTTTCCAGTTAAGTTCACATCATCGGTATGTACATCTATGCATTGATTTTTCTGCTGGCCGCAGCAGCTATCTGGATAGAAAACAAATCTGTTTTTGTCAGCTAAAGAAGATTTCTTTGCAAGTATTTCAAGACATAACTGCCTATTTCATTTGCTCCACGGTTACCTTGCGATTCGTCCCAGAAAAAAACATTCAGTATTATGTCTTGCAAGCTCAGAGATGGTAAAATTCAAACAATTTATCTTTGACTTGTAGAAGACAGAAAACAAAATCCTAATTAAAGTTATTAAATAACTGACGTTAAACTCAAACTGCCACTTATGCACTTACTCACTGTAAATATTCGAAAGTATATTTATTTAATAAGTGACACTTAACGAAATGTGCCAGTTTTTTACTCACCTCGACAAGGGATCCCTCCGGTGACTTGTCGCGATCTGGCATAGTGCCGGTTTATTAATTACCGACCGTGCAAATTGTTACAAATTCATAAGTGACACTAGCAACATCTAGCGAAAATTAAGCGCGTTAGAGCTACAGGGGTCTTTGCATTAGGCGCGTTTCGTCTTACGCATTTTGGCACTATACTTTACTAAAAAATAGCATTTTTTGTATAGTGCCATTTATGTTTTAAGGGTGCGACATATTCTTATTAGGTACCGTTGAAACTCTCTGACTCTGCTTCGCTGGTGCTCTCAGATGAAATACGCCTCTTTGTCACCTATTATCCATTGATGGCTATGTTGATAAACGGAGTAGGTATCGCCAATAGAATGAGAGACCCGGTATTCTTTGATTCAACTATGTCTACTACTATGGCTTCGGATGAAAGTCGTTATTATATTTCTAAGTAATCTTGTACTTGACCGAAGCTTTAGGTGTCTTCATTTGCAAAGCAGCTGCCCTTGAGCTGTTGGTTCTCCTCCAAAACCCACAACTCCTGGCTGAGCCCGTGCTCATCCACCGGTTCTGGTGTAACTAGAAAGGCTAACAGTAATCCTTCCTCTAAAAAAAAGGTTTAGCAAACAACTTCCATCTTGAGGGCAATTTATGTGTAATATTTATTGGTATAGCGTAAAGTGATTGCGCATAGGTGAGTATAGCAATCTTAACTATATCTGCCGCGAAGAAATCGTTCGTTTCAGTTTGAAGACTGGGACAGCCTATTGTACAATGTAAACTTAATATCTAAGGCCACTTAACACCAAGTGAGTGGTGAGCCCATTCAATTATCTAGATCAACAAAAAATCCTCTGAATTGCCATTTTAGGAATGTTTCAACTGCATCGGTTAAATAATCTCGCAAATTAATCCAACACAAACAAACTCACATAATTTTAATTTTATATATATTCCAATTCGTTACCTAGCGATATATTGAGACTACTTAGACAAGAGGTCAGTCTGTCTACGCTGTATACATGAAGTAATGATGTTATTGTATTGTCATCTTTATATGAGTTACGAGATTGACATACATTACGAAAGTTAAATTGTGGGTTATTTGAAATATTACAATTTGCAAAAACTTACGATGAAAGCATTTGGACTCAAACTCGGCTTACATTTCGTGTACTGCTTTTTAAACGTATTTAAATGGATGTATAATAGCAATTTAATTCGTTGTAAAAACCTTTATCCCATACAACAGGATCATAAAAGTATACTAAGAAATCTTGCATGCTTAGAGCGCAAAGAAAAGTAAATCTTTAGAATCTGGGTTCGGTACGGCAGCCGTGGGCTCGTCCAACTTTTCGTAGTAATAAAATAAATAATAGTTTAAAAAAACTAACAAAATACGCTTTTATAGAAAATCCAAATAAAAAATTGATAATAAATTTTAGTAAATTTGAATTAAACATAGTGTAAGAAAAAATTATTTTATTGTAAAAATGCATGAGGTGCATGGTATCAGTAGCTATAAATATTTTATGAACAGATATAAGTAGAAGGGTTATTTTGATAATATCCTGAAAATTTATTTTTCATTTTTATTTGATTTCCAATTTTGTGAATTTTTCTTTTTTTTTCAATTTTTTTTTTTGGTTTGTCATCGTTCCTTAATAGGTATACCAAATTTCTAGTTAATCCGACGTTTTGAAGGGGGTCAAAATCATGTTCAAAGATTCCGTTACAAACATACATACGTCTGAAGCTAATAAAAGCGTATTAATGAATGCAAAGGTTGCATGCAACCCTGTCAACGACATGAGTCGCCGCTACGTCAAGGCGTATGAGAAAATGAAAAAAAGGCTGCAGTAACTCAATCAGTGCAGAGGAACGCGCCTTGTTCTCAGCACGTTTTACTAGATTACTCCGCCAATCTTTAGTGAAGCGTCTGTCAGTTCCACCGGAGTTTTTTTTTTTCTCCCCGACTCGCTCCCGTAATCAGGCAGTTTGTATTCACGATGGTAAGGGCGCGTCGGCCTCTCGTCGCCCGCATGAGACTTGTCAACTATGAATTTCATTTATTACACATATATTTAGGGTTCAATTTGTTTATTAAGATGAGACGCGATTGTTTTTTTTTTCTCTGATAATCAAATGGAGTCTGGTAGATCGAAAGCTTAGATTTTTTTTGTTTGCATGCATTGTGTTGTGCATAAATAAGCAGTAATCACGAATGTACCCGAAGTTGATAAAGTGAGATCGTGCAATAAATCATCGAAATCACAGAAACTTACAAAACTCCATAGTTAATAAAAAAGGAGGCCGCGCGAGCCGGTATCGAAAAATATAGAATACTAAAAAACCGCTAACTAAAATGCCATCAAAAATAAAAGATTCACACGCTCAGGCTTGGAAAAATTCAACCCAAGAAACACAGCGTCATAAAGAAGGGCGGACAGTTAGCTTACTCAACTTTAAAATCTTTAATAAAATTACTTTCCCGCACAATTAAAAACCCCTAGCAAAGAAATCGACTGCGAAATAAATCTACAAATTGTATCATGCCAAAAAACTGCGCTGTACTTTTATTAGGGTCTTAAAGGTGGATAAGTATAAAAAGGATTTATCAGGATTATGTGGAATGGTCTCCGAGGGAGGAGGGGGCGGCCTTAATCTTTGAGAATACCGAGGCGACGAATTGAATTGGTACTTATATGCAAATGGCCGTGTGAGTAAATAAACTCGGGATTGAATCACCTACAATGCGGATTTGATTTTAAGTCGTTTTATTTTTCAATTCGCTTTTCTTTTAGCTATGACGTACGTGCCTCGTGATTCTAAGGATTCCACAACTATTCATGCTAATGCACGTTTTGAGATAAGATATTAAAATGTCAACAGTGTAGAATAACAGTTGGGATTGGATATTGTCGCACCCATTAATGACATTTGTACAAAACTTATGGTACGTGGTATGGTCGCTTAGCGCTTTTTTACTTTTCCCCCTACCTATTCAGCGGTAGTCTAAGGGATACACCAACCTCTCACGGACGCGTAGGCAAGCTCACGGGCTCAACCTGAGAGAATTTGCTAACACTAGGGCTAGTGCTAGCCAGAGCAGTATATCGCAAACTCTACCACCGGATCGGAATCGCGACCCACTGAGAAGATCCAGCCATAAACCCAGTAGGTTGTTATTGACCAAATTTAATTATGCTTCATTTGTACCAATAGAATTGCCACATACAGAAAGTCACAGATCACGCCGGAAAGAATACAAAATAATAATTGACTATAAAAAATCCCGTATCTGGTACGGGAAAGTGTACAATCGTAAATGGATACCAGCCTGCCATTTATAATGTATTCGAGTCCTTAATGGTGCATTAAAAATGGTTGTTAGAGATTCATGTTCGTTTATTGATGTTTTATTATTTGAGTATCAATCGTTTTTGTAGAAAAAATATTCGATACGATCGGAGTAAAGTTTCCAGGTCTGATTCGCAGCGTTGCGATATTTTACTGATCCGCAACATCACAAATAAGTGTCATTGACAGTTTCGTAGCTCGCATATTATAGTACTAACGCTATTTTTTTAATTGCCGGTATGTAAGGTTTATCTGATGTGATGCAGTCATCGTCACCAATGCCGAAAGCACAGCCTCACCTCGCCTACTACCGACCTGCGTGTACCATATGTTTGAACAATTCTCATTCTGTATTAAAATTTATAATAATTCTGTCATGTACACAATATCGAATATACTCTCTTTCATTTATGTACTACCGTCCAGTTTATAAGTGATGTGATAAATGTCAGCAAGCAACGTTATGGGACATCTGAGGGACCTTCTTCGCCGAGTGTGGTGCAAAGAAAACGGTCATTGCGAAATGAAAGACTCTGGAGGGAGTCTCTGAATAGAAGGATTTTTTTTTTTTATTGCTTAGATGGGTGGGCGAGCTCACAGCCCACCTGGTGTTAAGTGGTTACTGGAGCCCATAGACATCTACAACGTAAATGCGCCACCCACCTTGAGATATAAGTTCTAAGGTCTCAGTATAGTTACAACGGCTACCCCACCCTTCGAACCGAAACGCATTACTGCTTCACGGCGGAAATAGGCGGGGTAGTGGTACCTACCCATGCGGACTCCCAAGAGGTCCTACAACCAGTGATTACGTAAATTATAATTTTGCGGGTTTGATTTTTATTACACGATGTTATTCCTTCACCGTGGAAGTGAATCGTGAACATTTGTTGAGTACGTATTTCATTAGAAAAATTGGTACCCGCCTGCGGGATTCGAACACCGGTGCATCACTACACATGAATGCGCCGGACGTCTTATCCTTTAGGCCACGACGGGATGGATATATTTATTCTCCCAAAGCCGATCCGCTGTTAATTGACTGCAGATCTGCTCGTCTCCTTGCACTGGAATGCGAGACTACTTCGTGTCAGTACAGGTCAGATGGCGGTACTTACCCATGCGGACTCACAAAATGCCATCAACCTGTGACATCGCACTACAGAAGCGCGCACCGCCTCACTGAGCCATGTGCCAC